TTATACTATATTATATTATTATATTATATATTAATAATATAATAATAATAATAATAATAATAATAATAATAATAATAATAATAAAATAATACTAGAAATTATTTATTAATTTAAATTACTTTTAAATTACTATCTTACTAAAAATCACTCGTAACAAATATATTTATTTTCATATGTTCTTTTTTTTTCTCACAAATATCTATTCTTTTTCTTTGTATATATTAATAAGAAATAATTAATTTTTAATAATAAGACAATTGATATTATTACTTTAAGTAAATTAATATAATTATTATCAGAATTTGTTTAAATTATTATTATTATTCAACGAAGAGAGTTGCAATCCTTCGTTTTCTATGTAATTTCAAATTTAAAAATAATAATAATAATATGATAATATGATGATGATGATAATACGCAACTACTCAGGTTTTTCGCCTGAAAAGCTTTATCGATTAATATAAATATCCGGCTATAAAATAATGCCTATAATAAACTATAACAAAAATTACAAATATAATGACAATAAAATTAAATATAAATAATACAATAAGGAAAGTGTAATAATACTAAGCGTAATTGTGTTTTACGATGTCGTCGTCGTAGTGTACAACAATTGTAATTGTTAGATACAATAATGGAGGATTTTATTTTATAACTGTATAACAAATGTAATCTCATATAAATATTATTTTACAGTTAAATGCGATTAATGTTTTGCTTAAACTTCTTCTTCTGACAAAAGTTAAAAGCAACTATTAAATTAAATGGATAAAATATATGAATAACTTTCATGTGAATTATTCATTTATTTATTTATATATATATAAAAGTATATATATTTAATTAATTATAAATTATAAATTAATTTTTTTATTATCAAAATAATATGTATAATTATTATTATTTAAATATTAATTTGAATAATTTATTAATCCTACGAATAGAATCTAATTTATTGTTAATATTAACAAAACTGCAATCTAAACTACTGACAATAATTAACAGTAAATGACAAAAAAAAAAAATTAAAATTAATAAATTAATAAATTAATAATATTATTAATTAAGATAAATAAAAAAAAAACAAACAAACAAATAGCATGCTTAAAATAAATCATATTTTCTTTCAACAATATGCATCACAATCTATGTATATGTATTTCTATTAACCTTTGCTTACCACCCTTCATGGGGGTAACACCCTTACCACCACACCTGGGTCCTTTGGACCCGGACGAGAAAAATTGTTATAAAAAAAAAACTATTGCATAGATTTAATTCAACATTTGTTTTAAAACTTCTTTAATACTTACTTAAAAAGACTATATAAGTTTTATAGGTTTAAATTAAATTGAAATATGTTGAAAAAATTATCAAAGTTGAGTACAATTGAGAAAAATGACGACTCAAGTTGTAAAAAAATGATTCGTCTGGGTCCTTTCCGACTAAAGTGTGTTAAACAAAGGTTAAAATCAAATGATATAAGTTTGATTATTTTTTAATTATCAATTTTAATTTATAATATACAATTGTCTTTTTTTACTATTGTTATTAATAATGATGAAAACATAAAATATATATATATATATATATATTACACATGCCGTTTCCGTATATTTTTTATAAAATAATATATTTGTTTAAATGATAACTTGTAATCTATATATATATATATTTTATTATATGCATTTAAATGTAAATATATATATATATATATATATANTCATTTAATATGAATAGGATAATATTATCTTTATATTAAATTACATGACACAAATAATTGTATTTTTGTGCACAATATCAAATGATCGAAATTTTTCAATCAAGATTATTAATTACATTGATTGTATATCTATTTTTAATTTTTGTTTTTTTTTTTTCATATAATTATGAAAT